AAAGACAATAAAACATAATTACACAAACCACATTAAAATAATAAAATGAGGTCAAAGGCCATGTACAAAGTTAAAAGCCACAGCCAGAATTAAAAGCCATATCCAGTAAAGCAGTCCTTATTTAACAAGCCAGATCTTCAAAACTTAGGCACTTCGTATGCCTGGGAGCATATGTGAGTTTTTAACAGCTTTTTGAAAGAGGGCAGTGAAGGAGCCGTTCTAATTTCCTCTGGGAGAGAGTTCCAGAGGCAGGGGGCAACTGCAGAGAAGGCCCCCTCTCTCGTCCCCACCAACTGGGTTTGAGATGGGGATGGGATCGAGAGGAGGGTCTCTCCTGATGACTGCAGCATCTGGGCATGCTCATATGAGGAAAGGCAATTGGCCAGGTAGTCTGGACCCAAACTGTTAGGGCTTTAAGGGTAAAAACCAGTACTTTAAATTTTGCCCAGTAGCAAAACCATCCAGTACATTAGTGATGACAGGCACCAGTTCAGGATCAGAACAGCATCCTTGGCTTTTGGTGGAAACGAGTAATAGAGCCAAACTCCAAAACTGTGGATGATCTCTCCCAGCAGTTTCATGTAAATGTTGAATAGCATGAGTGACAAAATAGATCCCCAAGGGACCCCACAGGCCAGGGGATCAAACAGGAATCACCCAGCACCACCTTCTGGGTATGATCTTCTAGGAACGAATAGAGACACTGTAGAACAGTGCCTCCTAATCCAATTCCAGCAAGACGACCCAGAAGGATACCATGGTTGATGGTATCGAATGCTGCTGAGGGGTCCAAGATAACGAACAGGGTCACACTCCCCATCTAGCTCTCTTCGTAGATCATCTACCAAGGCGACCAATGCTGTTTCAGTTCTGTAACCAGGACTGAAACTAGATTGAAATGGATCCAGATAATTGGTTTCTCCCAAGAAAGAAAGAATACCTGAACAATATTCTAATTTGGTATTAAAAATTCATTTCCCACACCTGCCTATCCACTACTCTGTTACTGCAGGCTACCAGACAACTTTGTGAAGCCAAATAGGAGCAGTGAAGTCAGCCGGGAGCAGGGAAGAATGACCAGGAAACCCAAAAGCTGTGTGTCATGAGAGGGACAATAGACTCAGACTTCAGAGGGGAGTGGGGAAGGGGAAGGGGAGATAAACATCTGGATATTCTGGAGGAGAGAGTAGAAGGCTACGAATGTTGCATATAATGCAGTAGCTCCTTATTTGCTAGTGCTGCTATTGCCACCCTTCTGATTGACTCAGAGTGATGATGTCAAATTTGCAAGTTACAATCTTAGCTATCCCTAGGATGGACAAAATTATGTTGGAAAGTTTTGAGTCTCATCTAGAGTTACCCATTCATAACTGCTTGGTATTCATAATCCTCATGTACTTCCTTGTTTGAAAGCCATATAAGGACTATGAAAGTCTTTCAGTCCCTACATACGAGGCAGCCATTCCTGCCTCTCTCAGGAAGCAGCCGATTCATGTTCAGAAATGGGGTCCTTGTTGCAGTTCTTCCTCACACTGGGAATTCTTGTGTAACTGTATAACTATAATATTTATGGCATTTCATTTTGTTCTGTAGAGATGTAATAATTAGAATTACAAGGGCTGTTTATTTCCAAATTCAAAAAGTCTCTCTGTGTCTAGAGAACCAGGGCATTTTTTAAAAGCCCTCCAGACAAGAATTTTAGCTCTGAAAATGAGGGCATTTCTGGGAAGAGCAGGATGTATCATAATAACCCTAGCTATCCTCCTTTGTTTTGCCCGGCTTCAGTTTCTTCAATTTTTCCTTATGTGTCATGTATTTCAAAATGTCAACTTGGTTGCTCTCCTCATGACACATTTCTGTTTAGTGCAATCCTTCTTCAAATGTGGTGACGGCAACTGGACACAATACTGCGCTTGAGACTCAACTAGGGCCAAATAAAACAGTACCATTATCCCCTCCTGCCTGGCAGGCACAGATGCTGTTCCTGCAACATCAAATAGTGTCTCTTGTATTATAAAGATCCCTACATTGCTGGCTCAGCTTCAGATATGTTCTATAAACACTAATTCCTTCCTGGTTGTGGCAGAGCCCAGACAATTGTCTCTCCAGTTTGGTAATTATACATTTGTGTTCTCTCCCCCCCCCCCCCAAATGTGTCATACTTAATGCTTTGCTCTGCTGAATTTCATTTTATTATTTTCTACTATAATACATAATATCCCGTTGCTCTCAAGTTAACTAAATCCAGATCACTTGATTTTGATCTCCTCTTGTAGCAATTAACTCTTCTAGAGGGAAGTGATGGGAGTTTTGTGTATGTTTCGTGTCGTTTGCTGAAAACGCACTCTCTTCATCCTAGAAAGAGGAAGAATGAAGGTCTGGAAAAGAAAATCTGTGAAGCTTTCTTCAACTTTCAGACCATTAAAAACAAATGTAAGCTTTTGCTGAAATACCTGCATCTTGACTTCCTCTTAAAATAAAACATGCATAAGAAATGTCTTGAGCAACTACTTTGTCTACTTGATATGTCCTTCAAGGGAATTATGGGGCTTCATTCCTGGCAATCAAATCCATACCATATAATGCTGAGTATGTCAGGTGGTTGGTCTCAAACTTGTCACAGGGCTATTGTTTGGTCCAACAGATGAACACAAATACTTTCCATAAATGGCTACAATTGAGTGTGAAGCTTATGTGACATTGTTATTAAAGAGCCAATATTAAAGTAAGACATACATTAATTCTCAACCCGATCTTTCCTTTTTCTTATTTTAGTTTTTTTTTAAAGACTGCAACATGTAGCACATTCTCTCATTGGAAAGGAAGAAACTGCATGCCACCAAGTCACTCCATTAGCTCCCACTATTATTCCAGAGTCCTAGGGAGGTGCCTTTCCCAGCCTTTGGTGAAGATGCCAAGGAAAGATTCTGAGACTTTCTGCATGAGCTCACAGTAAGTGGTGCTCCATATTTCTAACTCCACTGACTACTATCACTAGGGTGCTTAGGAATTCACCTATGACTGGAGAGGCCAAAAATGTGGACCCTTTGTATTCATCTGATGGTTCTTCTGCATAATTTGCAGATCACGTTAAAAAAAATTAAGAGTGATATAGGGAATACTTTCCACACACTTAACTGAAAGGAGAGCCACTTTGCTTATTGTTCATGTCAGGACTGTGACCATGAAAATACCAAAAGCACATCAGACCAGACCATTGAGATCATTTTGAAACCAGTTATCAAAAAGAATATTGTTTTGCCAATAGCTCATATGCAGAATAAACTGATAAGTGTAATTGGTATTACACTTCAAAAGGATCTCTTAGTCCGCTGGAATTTTTTAAACTTAACCAAGTCTGGAAGTCTACTTCTCTATAAACTCAATGTTTTGTTGATTTCTCGGTTCATGATTATGTGATATGAAGTTTTGGTAATGGGAAGAGTGCATTGATGCCTAGGTATGATCGAAACTACTGCTTCTTAAACTGTGGGTTCCAACTCCAAATGGAATACCATTAGCTCAATGTTGGGGTCACAAAATTTTTGGCAACAATAAAAGTTCTCTGCATGGATGACCTACGCAGAGAGCTAGATAGGGGGAGTGTGTCCCTGTTGATTCTCCTGGCTCTGTCAGTGGCGTTTGATAACATTAACCATGGTATCCTTCTGGATCATCTCACTGGGATGGGCCTGGGAGGCACTGTATTACAGTGACTCTGGTCCTTCCAAGCTTCCATTGATATCATTTGCAGGGTGATACAAATATCTCATATATGCAAGCTAAAGGGATGGATTCAGGATCTGATTTCATTCCCTTAGTTTCTGGATCACTAATAAAATTGATACTGAGTAACACATAAGAGTTGAGAAGAACCTGCATGATCAGTGAGGGTGACAAAAAAGCACTGGCAAATATGATTTTCTGCAGACACATGAACCACAATACTATCCATTTCATTTTTAGCTCAGTGGTGGGGAGACTGCCCCCAGAGCAGATGTTTTGAATGAGGATCCTATGAACAACTTACTATTGGTCATACTGGGATTGAGAACTATAAGCCGAAACATTGAATGTGTGGTGTGATAGATTTCACACATTTATTTCGATCAAGGAGGAGGAAGAGGAATCTGTGGCCTTCCGGGAACTACTGAACTATAACTCATGGTATAAAAATAGGGATGGGACAGATGGAGTTGATGATCAACAGTGCCTGGAGAGCATGAGGTTTCTTATCTCTCCCTTAGACTGTGTAATGGACTTCATACACAGCCCTTCCTCTTGCAACCTTTCAACACAGAAGACATGGACCGCAAGATATTGTTGGACTGCAGCCTCTCAGCAGCATAGTCAGTGGGGAAGAGCCTAGGAAGCACTGCTTCAACATCTGAAGAACACCCTGTCTTCCAAGAACCCTATTATATGTGTTGACAGAAAGAAGGCTTTGTGCTCCAGCCCTTCTTTGGCAGAAGCAAGATTTGGCAGATTACTCTCATAGCCACTATGCTTCTCTGTTTCCCTTTCTTGGGTGGCCTTATGCCACAGCTTAAGTCTCATTCATTTATATAGGAACTGAAGGCCTTCACTTAGGGAAGATCCAGCCGTATGTGAAATCTTGCCAAGGAGCTTCTGTTTTTTATCACTTCTATGGCATGGTGAACAGTAGTTTGAATTATGGACACCACTATGTGGATTGTCACATTGCATCAAGATGGAAGAATGACTAGATAATATGTAGTTGAAAATAAAAATAATCCTAATGTCTAAAGAGTCTCACAGTTTGTTGACAATCCAGCAGGAATTTCTGGCTTTCAGGCATCAGTTTTAGAGGGGATTATTATTGAACAACAATGAGTAACTTTTTCTTTTAAAAAGTAAAAAGTGGTGGCAATCCTGTACCTCCTGAAGAGAAGTGGTTGACGAAACCTGCTTAGGGTATGTGCCTGTAACTAGGTCCAGCTCATTGTAAGGGTATCACATGACAAAAATGAAACCCACAATTTATCTCTTCAAATGAAATCATTTAATTTGAAAACAATCACACCGTGGGTTCATTGGACCTAAAATATTATCCGAACATATCAATATAAATCTTCTCACCTTGTGTAACTGAAATACATTATTCTGAAATTGAATTTCTGAAACCATAGTTATCACAAAGACAACATTACTTTTTCAGCATAATAAGTTCTCAGTGGATTGGTTCTTTTTTATCTTCCTTTTCATACCAAGATTTCTTGCATGTGAGCATGAGCAGAAGTAGCAATGGTAAGTGCCAGAGGCTGCAAAAAAACAACTTCCGGGAGCTGCTGCGATCCGCATCTCTATAGAAACGGAAGCCAAGATACGAAATGTAAAGGTTGATAGGGAGAGAGATGATGGGGAAGGTCCATGTGGTGACATCTAAGATGGGAGCCAGCGACGAGAGTCCAATTAACGCCAAACAGTGACGCAGAGCCACTCTTCTGCACATTGCTGGGTGAGTTACGGACATCATGCAGTAGCCACCCCGGGAGTAATCTTCACGGAGGCCCCAGCTTAGTGCATTGAAATGGGGAAACTGCCAGGAGTAGAGAATCCCTCCCAGAAGCAATGCACCTGCAAAAGAAGAGAAATGGGGGCATTAAAGACTTTCTTCTAGAACCACGTACATGGAAATTTGGATAAATTGGCTGATGTTGTTTGTTTTTCATATGCCCAGTAAATCACTTGCAGGTGCAGAAATCTCATTAATATAATCAAACTTACCCCAAGGCTGTGTTCTTCGTAGCTTGATGACACTATGAGGAACAATTTACTTGGCCCTCCATATGAACTGTGAGTACTGGTTTAGACAGGGGAGTTACTAAATGTCAGGCCTTTGTAACATATACACATTGTCAAATCTGGTGACATGCTGATGTATTTCATATTTGATTTTTGTTTTAAAGCCAAATCAAACTTGTAGCACCTAGTTGTGGCACTGGATTAGGACACGGAACAATGGCTTCAAACTACAAGAAAGGAGATAACATCTGAACATTAAGAACTACTCAACTGTGAGAGCTGTTCAGCAGTGGTGGAGGCTCCTCTTTTGGAGGCTTCTAAACAGAGGTTGGATAGCCATTTGTCGGGGGTGCTTTGAATGCAATTTTCCTGCTTCTTGGCAGGGGGTTGGACTGAATGGCCCATGAAGTCTCTTCCAACTCTATGATTCTATGGAGACTCACATAATCTAGTTCAAAGCAGATAACCTGGGATCAGATCCTGGGATATAAGGACAGTGTAGAAGGGGCCTCATGTACTGATGTAAGGATGTGGGGGGTAACTCCATTTCCAGGCTCTTTGATTTTAGTTCATTTTGGGACACACACACAATTTAAGCATATGCCTTGTCTAAAATGTGATTTGTACTTGAATTTCCATAATCCACTTATACAGTAGAAAGAAACTACTGCCTTCAGAGGGAACCAGTGCCTCGGCCAATAAAAGAAAGACTGCTTTGAGACAAAGTCCTACTCTAGTTTTTAAAAACATCATTATTCATCCTATATTGCAAGAAGGAAATAACATTTCCCCATTTGCAGCATGCAATGGTTAGATGCACTTCTTCCTTTGGTTTTTCCATTAAGATCTGCTCTTTGGGTTTTCTTGTTTTGATAGCTTTCTCATGTGGTCCATAGAACTTACTCTACACACGGGGCATGTATATGATGGAGAAAAGGAACAGAAATACTGTAATTTTCAGTCTATAGAAGGATGAAAGTGTTCACTGGTGTTAGCTGGTAACTGAAAACTCAATCTTGTACAGATCAGGATGAAAACTAATGCAGCCATTTCACATTCAGGGTCTATTTATTTTATTTGTCAGTTACCTATCCCTGAACACCTCCTTAATGTTGATGCAAAAGCACGAATTAAAGGGGAAAAGGGAACCACAATAAGAGGCCAAAGATCTAAGAGGCATAATTGCCAAGATAATTATGGAGCATTTCCTCATAATTGCAGTCTAGAAGACCCACTATTCAAAGTCTATGCTACAAATTGGCTCCTGCATCACTAAAATGTAGCAAAGATACTGATTAGTCCTTTCAGAAAACTTTATTCTCTTTTATTAGGGGCTTAAAGGACCACATAAGGCTAAAAGATCTTCCTATTTTTGAAAGTTCCAGTTTCTGAAATGATTTTGTTTTAATGGTATTATGATTTATCACTGTAAAAAAATAATAAAGATTGCGTTGCCCACAAAAGAATAGACATTTGCAAAAGCAAAAGAACAAGATGCCATAACTACTCCTGTTGTTGTTCATTCGTTCAGTCGTCTCCGACTCTTCGTAACCTCATGGACCAGCCCACGCCAGAGCTCCCTGTCGGCCGTCATCACCCCCAGCTCCTTCAAGGTCAGTCCAGTCACTTCAAGGATGCCATCCATCCATCTTGCCCTTGGTCGGCCCCTCTTCCTTTTACCTTCCACTTTCCCCAGCATAATTGTCTTCTCTAGGCTTTGCTGTCTCCTCATGATGTGGCCAAAGTACTTCAACTTTGTCTCTAGTATCCTTCCCTCCAATGAGCAGCCGGGCTTTATTTCCTGGAGGATGGACTGATTGGATCTTCTCGCAGTCCAAGGCACTCTCAGCACTTTCCTCCAGCACCACAGCTCAAAAGCATCGATCTTCCTTCGCTCAGCCTTCCCTAAGGTCCAGCTCTCACATCCATACGTTACTACAGGGAATACCATGACTTTGACTAGGCGGATCAATTATAATATTATAAAACCTGTCAATTATAATATTTTGATGGCTTCCAAAAAAATGAAAGAGAAACGGATGCAACTTGTTGTTCGGCTCTGAGACAATGGATGTTGGTTAACAAGAATGTGTGTGCAGGTACAATCCAGTTGCATGTTTACTTATGGCAACCTCATAAATAGGGTTTTCTTACGCGTACAACACTCAGAAGTAGATTTGTCATTGCCTTCCTCTGAAATGCCCCCTACAGCATCTGGCATTCCCATCCAAATACAATCCAGGCCAAACTATGCTTTGCTTCCAAAATTAGTCAGGATCTGTTGCCTTGAGTGTATTCACTCCCTACTAAAATAATACCTATTCATACCTACTCACAATATCATGTTCTACGAATTTTCCTAGAACTAGAGTGTCAACAGATGTGGCTTTGTTTCTTGCTGTGCTAGCTGAGAATCTTCCTTTTTAGAGCAACTGAGGCCCTTCCAGACAGTACCTATCCCAGGATCTGATCCCAGGTTTTCTGTTTATTTCACATTATCTGGCAGTGGGGACTCATAATCCAGTTCTAAGATCCTGGGATATAGGGCCTGTCTGGAAAGGTCTTGAATCCTCATTCAGCTTAACTTGTGGCTCTCCTGCTCACATCCACCACTGGTTCTGTGTAATTGGGTTCATTCAAAAGGGCAGCTATTACTCTTTGCAGGGATAAAGAGTGGCTCACTATTCTTTTACAAATCTGCATGTATAGTAGTGCCCATTTTTAGAACTCTAAAGGAAGTTTCTGGGATTCTGTGGAAATTGAGCTTGGACACTTGTCGTCCTGCCAAGTTTGATGATGCTTCAGTAGCAATAGTGTAAATCTCTGTTCTTCTGTCTGAAGACAGTTCCTTAGGATGCTTCATTTCCTCAAGTTAAGGCAAATTTAATTAAACTTAAGGAGACCAGAGATTCTGGCCTGATGTATGCCCTAGTAGCATAATGAAGTTATTTTCCATCCATGACTGCCTGGGTAGATGTAAAGTCTTGTAATAGTAGCACATTTGGTCAACTGTGTTATCATTCACAAATTCAGATTTAAGCCCAAGGCACTTTATGTTAAAAACTGAGTACAGAAATGAAGCTAGAGCTCCAAGCACACGTGCTGCCTCTTTCATTGTCTTGGGTTTTGGCTTCGTATGTGTGGGACAGAGATGGCCAACTAGGCATGTAAAATAAACAAACTGGTTAAAATATCAGCTCCAAAACAGATGTTGAAGTCTTGCTGCATTTCCTAAAGTCATTGTTTACTGCCTTGGCAACCCAAGAATGCTGTTTTGCTTAAAGCGCAATTTTGGTAATTCTTCTGCCTTGAATAATACGAGCAATTTTAAATTATTTCCAGATTCTGGTAGCTGACTGACACACTGTGAGGAGGTAGGAATAGAGAAACATCAGATTCTCTCTCTCTCACTGAAACAAATTAAAGTTCTAAGTATATGTAAGAAGTTGTAAAAATTTCTGAAGCTTCCATTTAGCAGTTAATGGTGTGCACTTAGAATGGTGTGTGAGATTGTTTTCTTCTATTTTGGTTTGGTAAAAAAACCAATCTTGCTTAGCTAAAAAGAAGCTAGAACACATTACTCACCATTAGTCCAGATGAGGGAGATTAGGGCTAGAAAACAATAGCAAATACAGCTGCGCCCATTTGCCTTTGGATAAACAATATTGGCAGTTATGTAGTTATAGCTATTCCATGCTCAATCCGGAAAAAAGGAGTTGAAGTGTAACTGAACCTTATCATTGCCTAAAAAATAATGTTTCCAGCCTCTGAATGTGTTCCTCAGCAAAACCTGATCCAGGAAAAACACACTACCTGCCCATTTTGAATTTAAGAAAGTTTAGCTGCAATGAAAGGAGAGATGTGTAAAATCTCCAAATTATGTAGTCAAAAAGTCCTAGTTTGTATGCTGTCTTAAAATACACTCTGTAAGACCAAACATTCCAATATATCAAATACATTTTGGCTGACTCCATACTAGTTAACATTTTGTTATGGGACAAAGGGAGGTGGTGAAAAATATTTTTAACCAATAAAGTAAAATTAAATTGTACAACACAAATAAAAATAATTACAAATACCAGTTATAAGACTTCTCCTTTATCACCATCTGATGTCTGAATGGAATACAGACATAGCCAAACCTTGTTGTTCTTTCCTGACATGCTGATTCTATGAATGAGACACCTTCAGGATCCCTAGATATCCCATGCCTCACACATTCAGGATCATGGCTTCTTTAATTGAAACAAGCAACCAACAGTGTGTGACCTCCCTCTTTTCCTATTTTCTTCCACTTTATCAAGTATTTCCCAGTGACCTGGCTTCCGAAAACTGGGTCTTACTTTCTGATGTGTTATTATATTCGTCACAACAACCAAATAATATTTTTTCTTTTCCTGAAAATAAGTGAATTGGAGAATTGAAAATTTTATTTAAGCCATTCCACCTTGGATATATCCCCCAAAGGCACCAAATCCTGTCTGAACTCGGAAGGTAAGCAGGATCAGCCCTGGTGCTATAGGAGGAAGGAACTGGCAGAATCACATCTTAGTATTCATTGCTTAAGAAAATTCTATTAAGTTTATGGGGTCACCCCAAGTTGACAAACACGCACAAACACACACACACACACACACACAAAACCCCTTGGATACAAAGGGTGAGTACAAGTTCTGTTCTGTGGAGTAGATGCTTCCTGCATGTTACTTTGGTCTCCCCTCCCTCCTCTCTTGTATCTGAGGATTAGCTTCTTCCTTTTTTGAGCCTTGACATGCACTACTGGCAAATGAGTCCCTTTGGGCTATGTAAATTACCTCCTACACAAAAGCCAT